CGGAGACAAAACGATCGATAGAAAAGGATGTAGTGGAAGTAAGAGATGTGGCGGCACTGTGAGAACCAAGTGGAAGCGTTCCCGCCGCCGGCATTTGTGACAGATGTACGGCTGTAACATGAACGCGCAACAGACCTTCCAGTTTTCCGAGTTTTCGTCAAAACTTTTTGGTCTTTTCGTTCATGTCGTGAACATTGGGTCTCAGGCCGTTGATACGTAGGTGAAAAAGAGGCATGATTTTTCCGGGAGGATTCCTTCAACGATGTGCTCAACAAGATTAATGGCACAGTGATAATTGGAACAATGCGAAGTTCCCTCTCCTCCCGGGAATTTCAGCTTATATCCTTTTGTTTGTGTGTTTTGAGTTGTTCGACTTTGTCGAACTATCAGCAGTCAATTAAGAGCCTTTGAAAATGACCAAAAAATGAAGACGGGAAGGGTTTTTATTGAAATTGAGTGCATTCAGATGGCAGAGCTAAACTTCTCTCTTGGAACCACATTCCTGTGGAGGCATCCATATGAACGGTAACGTTATATCGCTAGGTTTGGCTAGACTCGTTGCACACAAATGTTCATTGCTTCTTTAATGGTGCTAAATTGTTTACGAGGGCGCCTTAGTAAGCATCGGAGCTTATGAGATCATTATTCTGAGCCTACGGATACCGTACGGAAGCCAGTGAAGGTGACCCTAACCATGTCACCACCATCAGCGAACCCGCGCACATGGAACAGGAGTGCGGACAGAGAGTATCACTGCAAATCACCTCAATTTGGTCGATGTGCTTCTTGGCAAAAAATACTAGGGGCTCCTTCTGATTGCATAATTTTCGTGGTGCATATGGCATGTTCTGGCACCCTCGTCGGTGCTTAGCCATTATACCCTTCGAAAGTGTTGGACGCAGCGATGTAGATTCGGCACCTCTTTCTCGAGAATCCCGATATTGCGATCCTTGTGCTCGTGCCGTAGTTCTCCACGATGTGGAAGTTCATGAGCAAGTCGAGGGATCGAGAGTTTTTGTTGAGGTGCTGCGGTTACTGACTGCCATATAATTGCGAACCTTAGTTTTTCTTACTCCGATGATTGCGTTACACCAGGAATGGCACTAAGATCATACGAGGAAGGGTACCAATGCATAAGAACTACGAGAACTACGCTATGAAGAAGTGTTTCTTCAAGGAAAAAACATGTAAAATATGATATCTATCCGTAAAACCTTAACACGATCGTGGTGAAAATTCACAGCGGAATTGTAAACTCTTCTCAGAAATATCGGAGAACGAATGGGAGAACGGCACTACTTACTCACTTTGTGCCTCAGAGCCTCACTTTGTGAAGATTGGGCCGGGTCTTTATCGGAATTTTTCCAGGGAGGTAAAACCGGCTGGAAACCTGTGCCGGGGTAGTTCGATCCGTAGAACACGAACATCGCATCCGTTTGTCTAGTAAGCGCCACAGACGCCGGAGCCAAATGGCGCTGGATCACTAATGTCGCTGAAAACTTACCCCCTTGCGTAGTTTTACCTATAGAACGCAAATACCACATTTACTTTGTGGAAACATCGTATTTGTATTTTTTTTGCCCTAAAGAGGGTAGTTAGGTCAACACTATTGACCCGGGACTAGGTAAAAGGTCTTCAACACGTGGAAATCTCTGCAATATGCTCAAAGAAGGTGAAAATAATCTCTCGCCCACCACAGAAGCTCTCCGATGTGATCGGGGTTTCGCTTCGTAATCAAGCCATACTTGCTTTTGAGTACCTTAAGCGGAAGCGATTACGGTAATTAAGGGTCGCATCGGAGGAGTATATGTGCCACACGAAGTAGTTAATTGGCCGCCAAAGAAGTGAAGCGTGGCGCATTCAGTACGAAAGATGGGCAGGACTTCCGAAGTACTCCGCCCGGAAGCGTTGTGCCCACAAGTTTGGTTGGTGACTTGGGTGAACTGCTTTCTGTTCGCTTTTTACTTGAAAAACCATTTCTCTTTTAGCGGCTGTATTTTCTAACCTGCCTGTGATGCCTTATCAATCAAATACTATGCTTGCTGGCATGATGGCGGCTATCGGGTTAAGCTGTCCGAACAACTTCTTTCTTTGTCGCCGCTCATCCACGAGAATGAATGGGCATTCAAGAGGATGCTACTTTGCGTATTCTTGACGACCTTCTCCGCTTTTTTCGCCATTGGCATGCAGTCCATATCCGACCGATTGAGGGGGGCGGTCCCACGGACGTACCAGCGCTGCGGCCGCGACAACGCGGGGATGGAAGGTTGCCGTATTCCAGTGATTGAGTGGTGTCTGAGCATCCGTCCTGCCGCCTGCATTCCTCCGCATGCACACTATCTTAGCAGTACGACGTAGCCTTTCCATCTGCGCTCTCGCCGCGGTCGATCAATCAAAATTTATCAGCTGTTTCGAGCTGAATCCGGCTAATTTCAATTGATATTCTCAACTGCGCACTTCTTTTCCACAGGTAAGTAAGTTTTAAACATGCTGATTTGCTTCTGCATGTCTTCTGATTGGTTTTATGTCTAACCATTGCCCCATTAGTAGCAATTATTCTTATTTTGTGTTTTTTATTTTTTCTTATTCAATTAATTAACCCTTTCGGACCTGAATTTTTCCCCGTGGAGAAATTCTTCTTCTAGCTATTGTTTATTACTTGTTAGCATATAGGTATCGTTATGGCGAAATTTGGAAGCTATTCGATCACAAACAAGGAAACTAAGAAGCTTTGAAAATTGGCCCACCTACATAATTTTCAAGCTTATGTCGAAACAATTCGAAATTTCATAGTTATGCCGAAAAAGTTTATAATCTTGCATAATATTATAACCCATAATTTTGATTTAGGAATCGATCTACTTCAAGTATTTTAAGGAAAAGTCACACTTACTTGGGCAGTTGCGGGAGTCAGCGTCGATTCATTGTTGCACTTGTACGCAAATACTCGTAATATTAACAGCAACACAAAATGAAATGGCAGGTTTAGCTCATAGTTAGGAAGGGAAAGGTTGACTGAAGCAACCCCTAGCAGGATTAGAAAAACCATGCTGTCTCAGCGGCAGTGCAAGCGTTTGAATTTGGTGGTGGCAATTGCCACCGCCAGGGCCGAAAGGGTTAAGCTTGAATTTTGCTTAAAGTAGAGGTAGGGGCGGGACCACACAAATTGTGCGAACTTGTTTGCTTCATAGCTTCACTAACCCGCGCGTATTTGAATAAGCCGCGTAATCCAGGTTGCATGTCATGGGGCGTGCGTGAAGTATCTTGTTCATGGGCTCATATTAGCAGTTAATAGTTCACTTTGTAAGGCCGTAGCGCCATGTCACGAACTTTTGAGCCGCGAGAATGACACAAATGTGATAGTAGCGGGTTTCTCTATCCTACCCAGAAAATAATAGATTGTTTGACACAACCTCATCTGAGGTTGTTGCTTTAGAGGAGAATTCCACGATAAGGACGGTCGAAGAAGGGGAAATTTACCTAGTGGAGAGACAGGCGGACCCCCTAGGGGTGCGGACTAAGGCCAACCCTATCGTTGTTACTTTTGTAAAATTTTTATGACCCCCCTCCCCAAGGTGGATTGACACGTACCCCCTTTTCCACACCTCAAACACTATCATCGCCTCTATCTCTGTACCAATGAGCACCCCACGTCCCCTCTACACCCCTACAGAATCTGTCGTAATCGCTGCCTCAAACTTCTGCCACAACGATTCGATGTTCTGTATGGGGGCGCAAGTAAGAGGATCGACAACGTTAAACATATGGTTCACGGTGAGTTGTCGATATCCTGCAGGTAATCTCGACGACTGCTAGTATGCTCTTCATGAATCGGACATTATTTCAATTCCTAGTCGGGCGAATCTGAGAATAATGTTTGTGAGGGTAGCAGCATTACGTGATCTTACCAGAACCATGGATGCGTGGCCACACCTCTTTCGATGCCTCCAAAAAGCCACCCCTTTTTGCGCACAATCTTACTACGATTGTAATGTACCTTTGCGTGACATGAGTTTCGTCAACTTCTGTCAGTTTGGTCAAAAAAATCCGCTAATTTGCACGCCTAATTTCGAAGCATCAAAACTCTGCTAAGAAACTGCTTTTCGAGTAGACTCAAAAATTCTCATATTCACCGTATTGTTGCTAATCATAGCTAAGCTGATCTGTTCCCTTATAATAAAAGAATTTAAATTTATAGTGGGGCAATTTGTCTGAAGGCAGTTTTGACCTACTCCTGCTCTCAAAGCAATTTCTTCTCTGAAAACTGCATTGCTAAGCAGAAAATTGGTGGTTCAGTGAAAATCTCTGTACTGCAGGGAGGATTGCAGAGCAACCCTGAATTCATTTATGAATGAATCTTACACAGCGCGTTCTGTGGTGAGCCGTTCAACGCTATCGTGGCGACAGATAAGACCTTTGTTTATGTTTTGTTCTTTACGGCAAGAATCCAGCGTCGCATACTGGCTCGATTCGTAGACCTGCTGATGAACTGCGCTACCAAACTGAGGGAAATCCCTGTTGGAAGCGCTCTGGGATTCGGGATGCTCCAGGTCAACTCAATCTCGTTCGCCCATTAAGCAGCCTTTACATTATCATCGCGCAGATCCATAGTTTCATAATGCACTATTGCCCTTCTCTGAAGCGGCTCCTTCGTGTTGCAATGAAGAGTCCAAGTGTGCACCTCCATGCGCGCAACGACTTGTGCTGCCAGGTCAGTCCGATGAGCAGAGTGGCGGAATTTCTGCTCCTTCCTCATAGCGTTCAGGGGTCTGAGCACGATGTCCTTAGAGACTCCAACGTCTCCTGCTCTACTTACAGTCGGGCCCCGTGATAAGCTTTTTTCTTTTTTGCACAATCTTTTTCATTAATAAGCTGCTTCCGATAGAGGAATTCAAATGTCTATCGTACCTATCAAATTGTTTAAGGACATGCTCGGCGACACATACGATGAGCGGCAACATGCTCATCGGCAACAAGTTGTGGACAAGACGAATTTGCAAATGAAGCTACTGCACATGGAAAAATCTTTCCAGGATCCGGTGATTTCCACGCGTTACCATTCCACAACTGAATTTCAATTGAACTGACTCGCAAGTATTGTGAAACCCAAAGAATCATGATTAACTGACCAGTTTCTCTAAAATTTATGAGTTTCAGCGATTAACTCCCATTAACTACAGCCTTGTAGCAAAAACTTCTATATGTGCTGAAGCTAAATTTATGGTGGTCGTTCATGTGAGAGCCAACGATGCTATATCTAGAAGTTCATGGCGCCATACGTATGGTAATCCTTTTTTGAGAGAAAAGGTAATTTACTTCTCGAAATTGTTCTGTACACACCTTTTTACCCGTTTCGATTAACACCTTAAAGACATCGCGGCAACTACGCTCATCGATACATCTACTATTTTTATTCTTTGCGCACGTGCCCATTTTATTCTGTAGGCCATACATCAACATAACTAAAACCATGTGGCTCACAGAATTTCTAAATATCCTTTGGTTTGGTAGAGGTTTTGCGGGTCTCACGAAGATATCCGTTCAGTTCATTGCTCATTTTCTTCTTTGGCACGCTCCGCCAGCACAGTCAAGCTCCGCCCATCGCTCGATATCTTGTCTGCGTCGTTGTCCTGCTATGCTATTTCTACTCGGATTTCATTGCCGTTCTCCGCGCTCACATTATCCCTCACCTCCCTACCGGCCTTCTGAACTTTTTAGCAGAACGAGCAAAAAGCTCGTATTTCTTCTGTATTTCACATTTTTTCCCTTTGTTCTCCACCGACGGTCAACCTCCCACCCCTACTTTCACATTTAATTGGAATTACCTCATGAATCGTGCTTTAAAGCGCTGATAACAGTTGACGGCTCAAGCAAGTAGTAGCATAGGCGAGAAGGAACATAACTATCGACTATGTGAACAGGAGAGTAACCAAGTAGGCGATTTCGTGAACAGCCGTCTAGATGGTACACACTAGACTAGACTGCGTGGTCTAGACTGCGTACACATCGTGACACACTAAGCTTTTCAGAGGTAGCCGTGGTCTACGCATTTTGTTCATTCTCCACCGTCCCCTAATCTCCTATTTGCGAGTTTGCCTTTGCCTTCACTTTTGAGTAACATCTGACGGCTCCATGCCGATATTGTTGAGTGGCTAAATAACGCAAACGCACCAGTGCTAGATCATACAACAGTGAAAAGGAGAGAACGTGTACGTTGTCTCGACACCATGACGAATGTGCATGCCCAGAGAGAAGAAGGGCACTGTACGAAGTCGAGCAATTCGCCACTAATTTTGAGCCATTTCAGTATAGTTATGGTCTCCTCTTTTCTGTTGGTAAACCAAGTTCTCTGAATGATCAAAAGGTTATTGAAGAGGAGAGTGTTCAGTATGGTGACATTCTACAAATGGAGTTCGAAGAAAGCTACCGAAACATAACACTAAAGGTATCTCTATCAATTACTCAACAAATTGTTTTTCTCTGGAATCACGCCTCTGAAGTATGAGATAAGGGCATAAACCAAGCAGAAGTAATGGAAACGGCTTCCTTCGGTCTGCGGGATAGAGTCCTAGGCAGGGTGATATTGCTTGAGGACTCCTCAACGGCACGTGGAGGATTTTCGCCTGATCCTTTACGTTTTCGCGCGCGGATATGCATTCTCGCCACCCGCGAGCCGTCTGTGCTCTCCGCGAGTACATTACTATCGGCTCCACTCTCGCACAGCAGAGAACCATGGTCGAGAAATTCCTCAACCATTATTCACACTGGTCCTTAGGCCAATTACAAATGTGGCACTCCCCTGCAAGGTCAACCGTCACGATAGATCAATTTGGAAAATTCTACGACCCGTCTTCCCCCTCTGGAGGGCTTCGATACGACCCCCCCCCAGGGCCAACTCCTCACGACTATCATCCCCACCCTCGCCTGCCGGGGGGGGGGCGATTCTATAGTATTTGATTCTGAGACCAGTCGACACAGCCCAACTCCGCACACTTTTCTTTAAAAAATTACCATCGAGCGGGGCGGGGGGAGTATATATTGAACGTGAACGGCAAAATTTTACACTCACACCCAAAAGCCCAGCCTAGTAGAATCCGCTATCCGTTCCACAAAAAACATCCCTTCTCTTACTGTAACATTGGCGCTACCTCGCGAAATACGACCCCCCTTTCCACCCCCCAAATGCGACCGCCCCTTTTCACCCCCCCCCCCCCAAATACGACCCCCAACCCCTTCGTTGGACTTTGTCCAGCGGACGGTTGACCCTACTCCCCTGCATGGACTCACAAGGGGGTCAGGGCCATGCAAAATGGGTTGCATCAGTATCAATGTTTTCAGACGGTTGTCTAGCGCTTATAGAAAACTAACCTCATACTGGACGTTTTCGACATTCTTCTCCTTTTTTCTTTACCGCTGTTATGTGGAAGTACCACACTACTTAGATCCTGGGCACGTTTTTAAAGCGAGAGATCACGATAAAATGTATATGCAAGCATGGAAGTACATTCACCAGCGGAGGCAGTAGTCAGGGGTATGCTTCGCCCAATCAGATGTGGTTTTTTCGTGGCCAAAGGCGCGCCAGTTCAGCGTCCTGAGGCTGCCAACCCATTCTGAGGTTCGTCTCAGCCGACTGTACTCCGCGCATGAGAGAATATCACTCGGATGAGATATTCCACTTCAAGTACGTATCCTGTGATATTTCCATTGCTAGACTCGATTCACCATTTGTAAGCGACTTCCTAGTTGGTTGCTAGCTCGCCCATTATCTGAGGTTAACAGGCAAAATAAAAGGTCCCATTTTGCGCGTTCTTGACGGATTTCATTGCTTTTTTGCAACTAGGGCATTACTCAGCATTCCCAATTCCACTATGACTCTGCCCTACCCAATCTCATCGTGATCCCTCGCTTTAAGGATATGTATCACCGCGTACTCATTTCACTGTTCCAATGCAGGTGATATACGCTTGAAATCGAGATTGAAACTGAGTAGGCATTCGCGAGGTTCGATAAGAAATTCCCTGCAAATAGTAGTGAAGAAGTAGAAGGAATGGCATGATCGTTGCGCATTTGGATGCCAAGAACTTGAAAACACTTGTAATCGAATGTGTAGGGAATCCTGCGATAATCCGCTGTACAAGCCAGCTCTATGCAAGAGCTCACGTTTGGTGAGCTTGAACATATGACCTCAATCTCTATCGCTCATTTCTACTCACTCCTCGTACCACCCATCCTAAGTCTTCTTCTTCTTCTCCCTAGCGTTAGTCCTGCGCAGTCGCAGGGTCCGCTGTTTTTGTCAGCCGTCGCCACTTTGCTCTGTCCAGAGCATCTTCCATCGTGGCCGCGACCTCACCTAGGTCCTTCTTGATCACGTCTCTCCACCTTTTGTTCGGGGCTCCTCGGGTCGCTTGCCTTGTACTTCGAATTCCATCGCTGTTCTTATCGGATGGTCTTGTGGCCTCCTTAGCACATGCCCATACCATCGCAGACGCTGTTCTCGTACCTTCAGCTGGACAGGGGCAGTCTGCATGACTGCTCTGACGTCCTCGTTTCTAACCTTGTCCAGCTGCGTCCAGCCGCAGGCCCATCTCAGCATCCACATTTCGGCAGAGTGGAGCTGTCTTTCCTGATTCTTGTTCAAGGCCCAGCACTCGCTGCCGTAGAGCATCGCAGGCCTTACCACTGTCCGGTACACCTTTCCTTTGAGCGCTCTGGAGCACCTTCGATCGCAGAGGATTCCAGTGGACTCCCTCCATTTCATCCAGGCCGCGTTGATTCGTGCCTTTACTGCCTGATCCACACTTCCGTCGGCTGCCAGATCGCTCCCGAGGTATCTGAAGTCTTCCACCCTTTTGATGGTCTCACCATGGCCGTCCACGATCGACTCTGCACCCTCTTCGGAGCTCAGGAACTTGGTCTTCCTAACATTTAGCCGTAGCCCACCTTCTGTCAGGACTTTCTGCCATTTCTGCACCTTGGCTTGAAGTTCCTCTCTACTATCAGCTATCAAGGCGACGTCGTCAGCATAGAGAATAGTCTTCAGTGGTCCCTCCATGAGCCCCTTCACCAGGACATGTAGTGTTAGAGGAAGGCTAGGTAGCAAGGCCTGCACTTTTCGCGGTACTTCTCCATCACTTGCCTTGCGATGAAGATGGCATCCGTTGTAGACCGTTCGGGCATGAACCCGAACTGTTCCTGGGAGATCGGGACCAGCTCCCGCAGTTTCAAGTCGACCAGGCGCTCATACAACTTCATGCTATGCGCAGTCAACCTGATGCCGCATTAGTTGGAGCAGTCCATCGCGTCACCCCTCTGCTTGAAGATGGGGACGATAGTGCTTGTTCTCCAGGCATCCGGCATTCTCCCTTCGGCAGTCACCGTATTCGGGAAGCGGGAGAGCCACTTCACCCCATGCTCTCCCAGGGCCTTCCAAGCCTCTATGGGTACTCCATCCGGACCAACTGCCTTTCCAACCTTCATCTTCCCAAGTGCGCGCCGAACCTCATCCTTTACCAGAGTGCGATGGGACCAGCTGTGGCCTCTACCCGTGAGTTGTTCTCGTGGGAGAACCCTCGTTCAGAAGACCCCTGAAGTATTCTTCCCACCTCCTCCGAACTTGGGCTGGCTTCCTCAGTATGGCGCCGTTGTTGCTCTTTACGTTCTTCACCACCCTGATATCTTGAGTATGCCGGGCTTTGGCCAGTCTGAAGACGAACTTCTCTGCGCTTTGGCTCTCCAACTTCTCGTACAAGGCGTCCATCTCCGTGTTCTTTACCTTGGCTACGGCAGCCTTAGCGAGCCTCTTGCAACTTTTGTAGGCAGCGAGGTCTTTGGGGCTCCGGGTCTTCTGCCAGCGCTTGTATGCTTCCTTCTTCTGTTTCACGACTCGCTGGACCTCCTCGTTCCAGCACCACGCCGCCTTGTCTCCTCTGAATCCACCTCGCGTCTCTGCCAGTATTTCCTTGGCGCATCGTAGGATGATCTCAGCTGCAGTGCCCCAATCCTTCTGCGCTGGTCCCTCAGGATCTGGGAGACCGACTTCCATTATCCTTCGCTTGAGGTCACGCACGGTGCAACTTCCACCACCTTATTCTCTTCTCGGTTTTTACCTTTGCCTTCTTGGGGAGCTCTATGGCTATGTCTGCCAGGAGTGGTTTGTGCTGGGAAGCCAGCTCCTCGCCAGGGAGTACCTTGACGTCCTTCACAGTTCTGAGGGAAGATCTTTTTACCAGCACATGGTCTATTTCCGTTTGTCGTCCTCCACTGCTGTAGGTGACCTTATGAGTCTCCCTTTTTGCGAAGAACATGCTACAGACTGCCAGATGGGCCGTAGCCAGGTCCAGGACCCTTTCTTCCTCGGCGTTCCTCACTCCTATTCCTCTAGCTCCGTGCACCCTTTCCAGGCCTCTTCTTTCACTGCCTACGTGACCATTCAGATCACCTGCTATGGTGAGGTAGTCACTTTCCGGAATCGTTCTGATGGCGTCGTCAAGGGTGAGATAGAACTCGTCCTTTTCACTTTTGGGGCATCTGGCCTGCGGTGCGTACACAGAGAGTATGGTCCAGTACCCCTCCTTCGTGTCTATCCTCACAGCCATGATCCGATCGCTGATCCTGTTCACTGCGGAGCCATGGTCTTTGAGCGACTCCGCTACCGCTATGGCCACACCGTTCCGCTTGGTGTCTTCCCCATTGTAGTAGCGTTTGACACCTTCCCCGATTTCCCTGGCCTTAGCACCTTTCCATCGCGTCTCCTGAAGGCATAGCACCTGGATGTTCCTATGCGTCATCAGATCAGCAATCTCTCGGGACTTCCCAGTTAATGATCCTACGTTTAGAGTTCCTATTCAAACTAGCTTCTTTGGCCGAGGCCGTTCACTCCTCGACAGCTCTCGCATACTGACCACAGAACTCGGGCGGGGGGTGTGCGGGCCACTTGCGGGTGACGTCCTAGCATTAACACTGATTCCTTCTTGGCCGACTTTTAGACATAGTTGTGTGACTGGGGTGGCCAGCCTGTCAACCTGGGCCTGACGCTGGTACTAGAACCATTTTTGCAATTTTCGCAAGGCATGGTTAGCCTCAGCAGGGATCGAACTCGCGGTTTTTGGAGGTGCAGACATGAGCCTAACCTCTTAACCACTCAGCTATCCCCGCCTCACCACCCATCCTAAGCCTTGGTAGCAAAATTCTTTTCAGATTCTAGCTGCCTACTCTATAACTCTTTCACCCACAGCGAGCACCAACACTTACCAGTTACTTAAATAGCCCGTAATAATTTTTTTCCTGTTGTTGGAAGTCCGGCAACGTCTCAAACCATAAAATGTAACGCATAATCCAAACATGTCGCCATCGGCCAAAGGTCTCTAGGTTTTCCTAGGAGCAAGATACGAGTTCCAGCTATGAATAGCTCTCATGGAGATAGCGCGCTCGACAATAGTGCGTACG